GATCGACTGAGGTGGGATTTAAATAAAAAAGATGATTATATTAATGTCTTAGAAAGCGCTGAGTACGACTCTATAAAAGAATTATTACCAAAGCTATCAATTAACGAACAAAATGAAAAATTGTTAAGTGGAATTTTTAGTGTGGCAAGTCAGTTGGGAATGGTAAAAAAAATTAATGTAAACTACAAGCCAAAATTTAAGAAGCCTTGGTACGACAAGGAATTGTATGATTTAAAAATTAAAGTAAAGAGGGAGGCTGCGTTCTGGAAAAAATCGGGGTTTGATGCGGAAGGTAGAATACTTTATTGTACAATGAAAAAGAAATATAGATCTCTTATGGATAAGAAACGACAGGAATACGAAAAAACTATCAAAGAAAAATTTAGTAATTTAAAAAATGCAAAAGTCTTTTGGGAAACAGTGAGGGTTTGTCGCGGTAGAAATAAAAATAATTTAAATATAATAACTATCAAGGAATGGGAAAATTTCTATGCTTCGGTTTATCCGAGTAGAGTGAATGTAGATGTAATGTACTTCGGTGCTGGCGACTCTGACCTTGACCAAGAAGTTTCATATTTGGAATTACAGGCTGCACTTAAAAAAAGCAAAATTGGAACAGCTCCGGGATTGGATAAAATTAGCATCGAGTTTTTTAAAAATTTACCGCCGTCGTGGCTTCTCCTTGTTCAGTCGTTCTTTAATAGTGTTATGGAAACAGGGGTGGTCCCTGAAGCCTGGTCCAAATCAGTTATCACTTTAATTTATAAAAAAGGCGAAAGATCAGATCCTCTTAACTACAGGGGAATAGCGCTTTGCAATAATATTTCGAAGATTTTTACACAAATATTAGCTACGAGACTTATTAATTGGGCTGAAGGGAACTCTCTTCTTCCGGAGACGCAGAACGGCTTCAGACCGGGGAGGGGCTGCGCAGATAGCATTTATGTCTTGCAATCAGCTCTTCACTTCCGACTGAGACAAGAGAAGGCTTCTGCATTTGCACTTTTTATCGATTTTCGACGAGCATTTGATTCGGTGTCTCATGAATTATTATGGCAGAAACTATATAGTATGGGAATGAGCCCTAAACTGATAAGAGTCATCAAATCAATCTATGATTATGCATCCTTCGTGATCCGGGTCGGGGGTGAAACCTCAGTCCCTATAGAGGTGACGGAGGGAGTTTTGCAAGGTGAGACGCTTAGTCCTTTACTGTTTATTCTATTTATCGCGGATTTTGAAAGCGAGCTCAGGGGCGCCGGCAACGAGGGGCTGAATTTGAATGGATTGGTTGATTTGCTGCTTTCTCTGTATGCCGACGATGCCGTTGCTTTGGCAAATACACCTGCAGGAATGCGTAAGCTAATAAAAGATGTTGAAAAATATTGTGCGATAAATAGATTAGAAATAAATGTAAAAAAAACTGAAATAGTTCATTTTAGACGAGGAGGTAAAGCGACAGCGGAAAGATTTTTTATTAATGGAGAACCACTTAGAATTGTGAACTCATACAATTATCTGGGCGTTGAGTTTTCCTGCTCTAGTTTGGGAAGGTTGGCAACGGAAGTTGCAATTGCTAAGTCGACTCAGGCCCTCGGTGTTGTAAAACGAGTTGTATTTGTTGGTAAGACTGACTCTTGGCCGGCTCAATGTAAAATTTACACTAGCACTGCTACTGCGACTCTTTTGTATACAGCGTATATATGGGGCTTAAGGTATATTGAAAAAATAGAAACTTCGCATACATCTCATTTCAAGCAGCTACTATCGCTCCCTAAATGTACATTCAATGCAGCGTTGCGCCTCGAACTTGGTCTAATCAGTTTAGAAATGAAAATTTTCAAGGCAGCTTATCTTTTTGTCATCAAGTTGTTAAAAATGGACAGGTCGCGATTACCAGTAGTTTGTCTTATGCGACAGATAAAATTGATGAAGGACTCTGTTTTTGCCCCCGAATACAACTGGGTAGCACAATTTAATGTATTCCTCGAAAAGATAAACATGTCCGAATTATGGTCAACCCTTTCGCCCGAGACGTGGTCGGAAAATAAAAATTTGGCATTAAAACGTTTTGAGACATATTTAAAGTTTTCCGATGTGGTGAAATATGATAGATCCGAGTCGAGGCTGCAGAAAATAACCAGAACATTGGAGGATGGAGCTTCCTGGTACTTGTTTGGACAACGTAAATTTTTTTTAACTAAAATTTTTTCTCAATTAAGATTGGCATCAAGGTACTCTTTTAGATTCACATATAAGGGAAACATATATAAATGGGATCAAAATTCAATATGCACTTTGTGCAATCTAAATGAAATAGAGTCATTAAACCATTTTCTTTTTGACTGTCCAATTTATACTGGAAACAGGAAGTTCTATCTATCCAGAATAATGTCAGATTTCAAAGGTTTGGATAGAATGACTGAACTCTGTAACGTGTCGGATGAATCAAGTATTAGAGATATTTGCTTCTACATAATTAATTGTTTACTTTTGCGTTCTTTTATGTTAAATGAGTAGTGTCTATATAAATGTAAGAGATTTTTTTGTTTGTTTGTTAATGTTTCTTTTGATTTGTTAATTTATTTTTGTGAAAAGCGGAACCCTCCTACAACGAAATGTAAATTTCTAAATGTAGCAATAAATTATTATTATTATTAATTCAATTATTTGAAAATTTGTTGATAAAGGTTCTTTATGGGAATTGCATTTTAAGAAACATTCAATTATTCAATAAATTACTTATTTTTATATTTAAATAATTGAATTGTAGAATTTTCTAATTATAATTGATTCAAATATGAATTTCAGTTAAAATTGTAGATAATTGAATTTTGATCTTTGAATGTTTGAATTTTTCATACTTTTAACTGAAAGTTGTGTAGATTTAATTTTTTTAAAAAAGTTCAATTGAATTTTTTTTAAGTTATTTAAAGTTTTTATTTTCTAATATTTGATTGAAGAATTTCTGAATAATCGATAAAATTTCGTAAAATTGAATTGTAAACAAAAGGATTTGAAAATGTTGAAAAAAATGTTTTAAAAATTATGAATAATAATTAATAATAATTAATTTAAAGAAGAATTTTAGTTAAAAATTTTGGAAAACAATAATTGAATTAAAATGATGAAAGTAATTTTGAATAAGTTACAGTATATTCTTATAATATAAAATGATTTTATCAATCGGTCATTTTTAATTATTATAAAACATGAAGATAACGATGACTCCGAGTCGAAGACTCGGAGTGGTCGATATCTTCATGTTTTATAACAATTTTTTATAAGATGTTTAATTTCAAAAGGGTTTGAATTAAAAATTTTGTTAAATATAAATGTAGTTTTAAAAACCTTTGAAAACCTGGAAAAGTCAGGGAATTTGAAATGAGCAAAAGCGTGGCAACCTTGTAATTTAAATTAACTTAAATTTTTATTAAATTTCATAAAAATTTGCGTCTTTTAATCAACTGACAAATTATTAATTTCCAATCAAGAAGATTAAAAAATGAGTTACAATTATTCACGTCGAAGGACTGCAGTGATGAGAAACGTTTTAGAGATTTCAGTAAAGATAACAATACGAGAATAGGTCGAGTTGACAGATTTGGATCAAGAATGAGTTATTGCGAGAATGAAGTTAGAATAGACGTTTGAAAGCAGATGATTTAATGATTATTGAATTCAATATAGGAATAGACAGAGGACCCGCGCGCGCATATATAAGAGAGAAGGCGGAAAAGGTCGTCCCCTATAGTTGAAAAAGATAATAATTGTTGTGAGGACAATTGTGTCATGTTCATGTTCTTAAAAGGATCCATTTAAAAAATTGTCGCACTGCAAATGTTATTCGTACAGTGTATCGCGAAAAAGCCATCCTTTTTTTTTATTGCCCCTGGGGGGAGTTATGTAATCACATTTTTTTTCTTCAATATAATAATATGAACGTCAAGTGAAACATCAACTGTCGGATTTGTCATAAACATTAATCAAATTGAGAGACAAAAATTCAGACTTGTAAAATTTAATTCCATTTGTTAGAGAGGAATATATGTATGTATACTGTCATTTTTAATGGCGGAATGCGTTTCTTTATATATAACATTAAATATTAATACAGAATTTTGGTTTTAAAATACTTTCCTAAATTATACAATATTGCGGGGATTGTATTTTTTTTCTCTTTATTTTCTTCAAGTACAGGGTTGCCACAGGTAAGAGAACTCAGAGAAAAGTCATGATAAAATTCCCTAAAATAATGTTTATTCTTCCCTCTTTTTGCATTTACGAAAATTGTCATTTTGCACCAAAGTTGAAATTATTTTGAAGAAAGAATTTTCGTTTTTGATTTTAAAATTAGATTTTGTTTTAGGAAAAAAGTTTTTCCGTCTTGAAATCAGAGAAAAAGAATCAAATTTTTATACATAGTAACAGGAGGTGAATTATCGAAAAAAGAAAGAAAAGCTGTTGTTAAATCGTAAAAATAGACGCCAAATGGAGAATTGATTTACATGGGAAGAATTTATTTTTCATGAAAAGAAAGAAAAATTAAAAAAAATGATTATTGAAATGTAATTCGAGTGAAATAATGTAATGGGATAAGAAAAATTATTGACAACCTAGTATTACCATTACTTATAAAGAAGAATAAAGCACACACAAGGCTCTCTCTTCCCTCGCATATGAAAACCGCAATTAGATAACAATGCTGCGTCTCTCTTATAAGGAGAACATCTGCCAAAGAAGCACTTAAATATGACCAAACCTTAAAAATGTAAATAAAATTAAAAAAATCTAAATATTCAACTCTTCCTTTCCCACAGTGAAACTATCATTGTCCCTATATACTGAAAATGACGATGAGATATATTACTATAAAAAAAAATAAAATCCTGTCTATTATTCAATGACAAGCAAGCAGGTACGTTTTTCCGTTGAAACAACAGGTGTTAGGAAAAGGGTTGTTGAATTTAAAAATAGAAAAGAAGATAATATAAACTCACCCTTGTCTCCTCTCCATCATCTCGACGCGCACCCTGAAAGAGGACGTTGCCCATTTGAACCTGGAAATTTTGCTGCAGTAGTTGCGCCAATTGTGGATTTTGCGTGAGAATCGCTGGATTCTGTTGTAATAATTGTGCCAAAGCGGGATTTTGAACCAAAATTTGACTTAGGGGGGAATTGGGGACAGATTGATGGGAATGCTGCTGTTGTTGCTGTTGTTGTGGATGTTGAATATTAGGCGAATTGGCATTTGGTGTTTGGGATGATTGCGAGAGTGATGGATTTTGTCTTGGTGGACTTTGCGGTGTGTGCGGTGGAGTTGGTGGACTTCCGGGTGCCATCGATGATGCCTCTTTCTCCTCCTTGACCTTGACCTTGCCTGGAAAAAAGATACGACAAGGTTGAATTCGTGAGCTCCCAGGTGACTTGTGAGAGAGAGAAAAAAAAGAGAGGAGAGGGTCTTTGGGGTGCACGGCGACGGCGACCACATGGCAAATTGCCAAGCAGCCATTGACTGGAAGGCAAAGATAAATGAGGATAGGGAGAATGGTCGACTCTTTGTCGTGTTATTGCCCTTGTAAAGAGTTCCGAGTAACTCTCTTCCTTTTTTAGAAAAAACAATCGCCAATGGATCATGCAAAGATAATATATATAAGGGACTTGGGAAGATGGAGAAAAACGGGAGAGAGAATGAAAAGTATTCTAGATATATTAATAGCAATAATATGCATCTGCTCTGTCACGGAGTTTATTATTTACGAAGTGAGACTCATCTTTTCTCAAGACTCAATTCTTTAATTGCATGGGAATCTTCGTCACAAATATACATTTTGATGAAAATTACCATGCAATTAAAGAAAGGATGCTTTAATTTTTTTTTTTTTTGCATCTTTGGTCTATATTGTAATTGTGCATTTTTAAAGACCTTCCCTTCTTTTTTGAAGAATAGCTGGGAATATAATTATTGCTCTTCAATAATATTTTTTATTTCTTCACACTTTTTAAATGGTATTAATTTTTAAATGATCTTTTTACTTTATTGCATGGGAATAATGTGTATGGAGTCGTTGATGTAGTGTATTTGTCTAACGGTTTTTCTCAGGAATTAGTCTTATCAGCACAGTTTTCTTGAAATTATCAACTTGATACTAAAAATAGACTAAAAACTATACTGAAATAGATCAAATTGATAGCAAAAATTTAGATCAATTCTTTATTTGACACAGATTTTTGGTATCAATTCGTTGCAATTTTGATACTTTCAATAAATTATAAATAATATAAATAATAAATTGAATAAATTTCAATTCAATAAATTTAGTGAGGGTTGCCAAAGAAATTGAATTTTGTTTTTCCCTGATTTGACTAAAGTCAAAATTTTGTCTGGAAATCAGGGAAAAACGAAATTCAATTTTTGTGGTCAGGGAAAATTTTCCCTGAGCATGAAGAATATTCTGATTTACTCCAAAAATTATGAGGTACTTTTAAAAAAAATGTTCTGTTACATTTTTTCACAAATTTTTTCAAACGTAAAATTATTCAAAAACAACAATAACTTCTTTTTTTAAATAAATATTTAATCATTATTAGTTTTTCCTAGGAATTAAGATTTTCAAATTCAAAACATCTGAAATTCAATAAATTATAATAAATTTAAGATGACAAAGTGATACAACCTTTTATTTACAGTGTGAAATTAATTTTTTAATCAATTTTTATTAGAAAATTTTTCGAGAATTCAATTATTTAAATACAAAAATAAATAAATTATTGAATAATTGAATGTTTCTCAAAATCGAATCTCTGTAAATAATTTGATTTTTTATGAAAATAATTCAATTATTGCGAAGAAATTAAAAAAAAAAAATTGCAAATAGCTGAATTACTGTGAAATTTTTATTATTTATAAAAATAATTTAATGTTTGCTTAGAATTTTATCAAAAATTTTTTGAAATAATTAAATTGTTTTGAAAAATTTTATTGTAATAGTAGATATTGAAAATCATAGAATTGAGGAAAAATTTTGAAAATAATTTAATATTTGGCAAAAATTCCATTAAAATTTTTGAAAATAATTGAATTTCTGCGAAGAATTTTATTAAAATTTTTAAAAACAATTGAATTAAAAAAATTAAGAGTAAATGCAATTTTCTATCGTTTTATTTAAAAATGTATAAAAATTAATTGAAATTCTGCGATGAGTTTTGTTATTTATGAAAATAATTGAATACTTGCAACGAATTTTTTATTTAAAATTATTGAAAAAAGAATTTAATTTCTCTGAAGAATTTTATTTGCGAAAATAATTGAATTCTGGAGAAAAATATTATTAATTTCTTGTGAAAAATTTTATTAAAATTTTAAAAAATTTTTGAATTTCTCTGAATTGTTTTAAACTTTTTGAAAATAATTAAATTTTATCGGGAAATTTTATTAAAAAATTGAAAATAATTGAAATCTGAGGAAGAATTTTATATTTTTTTTTTAATAATTGAATTCTTGTGAAAATGTTTGTTTTTGAAAAGAATTGAATTCTTGGGAAGAATTTTATCAAAATTTCTTAAAAAATTGAATTTCTTCGAAGAATTTTATTTTTGACGAAAACAATTGAATTGTTTCGAAGATTTTTACAAACATTTTTGACAATAATTGTAATCCTAGAAAGAATGTTATATTATATTTTACAAAAATAATTGTATTCTATGATCAATTTCATTATAATTTTTCAAATTTAAAATGCATTTTATCAAAATTTTTTAAAATAATTGAATTTTCGAGAAAAATTTTATTATTTATGAAAATAATTGATTTCTTGCAAAGAATTTGATTTTAATTTTTTTAAATAATTAAATTCCCATTAAAAAATGTATTATTTGTGAAAGTAATTGAATTCTTAAGAAGAATTGTATTGAAAATAATTGAATATTGAAGAGAAAAATTTTATTAAAATTGCAATTTTATTAACTAAATCTTGCAAAGAATTTTGTCAACATTTTTTTAAATAATAGAATTTTTAAAAGAATTATTTAAATTTTTTGAAATAATTGAATTTCTCAGAACTATTTTTTTCAATTCTCTGAATATATTTTAATTCTTTCAAAAAACTTCATTAAAAAATTAAAAATAATTGAATTGGTTCGAAGAAATTTATAAAAAATTGGTAAGTAATTGAATTCCTGTGAAATTTTTATTAAAAATTTTGTTGAAATAATTGAATTCTTTGGGAAAATTTTATTAAAATACTAGATATTAAAAATAATTGAAATGAGGAAAATTTTTGAAAATAATTTAAATTTTGCCAAGAATTTTATTAAATATTTTGAAAATAATTGAATTTTGAAGAAGAATTTTATTATTTATAAAAATTATTGAAATTTTGACGAGAATTTTTTGAATTTTTTGAAGAAGTTTATCACTTTTGAAAATAAAGAAAAATTATTCATTAAATAATTTATAAATAATAATTTTATGATAGTTTTTTAAAAATGAAATTATTTAAAAAGAAATTATTGTTCGATTCGATTTCAAACTGAAAATTTTTTCCTTATCTTTTTAGGAATAATTAATTAATTGTAATCATCAGGAAATAATCGAAATTTCGTAAAATAATAAATTAATAAATAAATTTATAAATTCCTAAAAAGATATGAAAAAAATTGTCCCCATGACCATCAATAGATAGTTATTGATAGCCAAATCACGAGGAAATAATAATTGAAGAATTTCTCAGGTGTCATTCATGAGAGAGAACTATTGAAGGCCGAGACAACAAGGCCCTCTTTTGATATTGTGCGTGGAAAATATACAATCGTGTCTCTAAGAAAATATATTCATCTTGAGAATTGTTTGTTGGGAAGGGATCAAGATGAAACGCATATATGAGATCAATATCTTTTATGAAGACGAGTAAAATTGCGATTTCATCGGAACATACGCGTCTTGGGTGGAAGAAGAAGAAAAAAAACAGTTTTTTATTTTTCTTTTTTTTGTATAGTTTGACGCTTTAGAAATGCATTGATGTTACCTGCATATGACGCTTCTTGCAAAAATGCATAAGACACGAGGCATAATGATCGGGTGTGTATCGCTTTTATGTATTCCGCGTGCAATAAGTTCCTTCCTTCGATGTGCTTTATGCATTCTTTACGAATACTCAATTCACCTCCCACGCACTCTCGGAAATTTTTTCCTTTTTTCTTAAATTACAGTTCAACCCCAAGAAATTACGTATTATTAAATTCTTCTTCATCAAAGGAAAATTAATTTTTTTACTAATTCATTCAATTATCAAATTTTTCTATTATCACTATTAAAATTTTGTCATGTGCACATGTGCTTCACTAATAAGGATATTTAATTTATTTATAAATTTTTATATTTATTTTAGTAACTAAATAATTTAGTTTCGATTTAGATTCGCATTTATAGTTTAATTTAGAATTTAATTTTGCACTTAATTCAGAATTTAATTTTTTGCATTTGATTTAGAACTTAAATTGAATATTATTGATAATCGGAAATTGAAGATTTGAAATTCATATGCACATGTGGAGAATAATCACATTTTTATGATATACACGCGAGTAATGTTGAAATCGACGTGACTAATCGAACCGTCGTGTCCACTTGTTCCGACTTTATTTTTTTTTTCTTTCGTTACTATTTCATTTACATCTCTAATTTGCAATTAGTCACACGTAAAGTTCCACTCACGAAATGCACACATTGTTCACAACAGTCCTGAGAACGTTTAATGTTATGTGGAAATTTTTTTCTCTTTCCTCTATCGATTGTCATATACAATTGAGCAACAAATCAAAATGATCTACAAAACTGTTGTCGAGAAAAGAAATCTCGGAGAAATTATCACAAAATATTCTACTAGTTCTAACATTAAAACTTTTTTCTTTTTTTCACAGTTACAAAATAGTTTTAAGAGCAAAGTTTTATATAGTAGAATTTAGAAATTTAAGAAGAAAATATTTTTTGACTATGACGAAGCAAAATGGAAAAAATAGATTTTAGAGAATTTATATACTAACTTTGTGTTCCTCCTTCGATTTGAACTCGAACGAGACTGAATTATGTCAGAGAGGGGAATATTTCCAAGATTTGAAAAATCATCTAGGTGGGATATTAGATTCCATATAGAAATCGTTTAGGACTTCCCATTTCGTTTTTTCATTGGTGGAAAAAATAGTTTTTGGTGGTGGAAAGAAGTTAAAAGAGGAGAGAATGAAGAAGAAGAAAAAAAACTGGGGGAGCTAAATATATACGAGACGGGGGAGAAAGGAATATGGTAAAAAAAAAAATATACTCAAGTGATCGGACGAAGGGTGCATTTTTGGGGTAAAACTCGTGAAATTGAGATGTTTCGA